GTTGAAATCTCTATTCTTCTCTAAAGAGCTATAATATTCGAACAGGTGCGGAAGACCTTTGAAAGATGCCGGAAATCTCTGCCGGTAGTAAGGCAAAGCTGTTAATGACTTACACTTGTAATCACCTGCGAATTAGGCACTTTATTATAAGCTGACCTAAAGTTTTACAAAGAGCTAAAGTACATCACTTATAGGGGAAATTATCACGTAGGCATGCGAAGGACTCTAATCTGTATACAGACATTTAACCTAATGAAAGGCTTGGTAATTGACCAAAATTCCATAGTTCAGCAGTGTATACAATACTTCTTACTTTCTCTCATTCAGATATGCTACATATTAATGCTACGATATCTTGTTGCACTATACTAATATTACATGTACTGCAACAACTACAGAGTACAACAGTTAACAATGAATTATCTGTAAAGCTATTTATTATGGCGTAAAATGTAATATTTTGAAGTAATCTGAATGAACAAAAAACTGATTGGCACCTGCCAATGCTAACCCCGTCGCTCTAGATAAATTCCTTCTATTTTTTTTTGTTGCATTTCGTGTTACTGAAATGAAATTTGAGAAAAATATTGAACTTTGCCTAATTGTATAGAAATAATAATTAACCTCTTCATTTATGCATGTAAACTCAGCATCTTATTCAGCTATACTGGCCAAGTTTAGACGTGGATTCCTACGTTTTACAAGCATTACACCTCAAAGATGGAGCATCAACCAAAACTGCTCACTTAAGGGGGATGGTGGAGGGAGGAGAGGAGAGAGACGGGAAGGAGGGATGAGAGTGAGGAAGGCTAGGAAGGTTTTGGTTTCAATCATTTACCTTTTTGTTTCATTCTCTGCAAACCAGTTTCACATTTAAGGAATCTTCCACGCTTTCATTTCAAAAAATTTATATTTACTTGCTTACCACATTAAATACTGTCTCACCACTTCCGTCTTCGAAATTCTGGAAACTAGAGTGCTTTTGCACTTTTCTGTCTTGCCGGATATTGAAGAGTAATACTCAGGGTAAAGAACCTTTTATCGATGTGTATCGAAATGCTATTCTTCCTGCATCCTTATTTAGGATTCATATCTAAAAGTGCAAGAAAAGAGCCGTCGTACTCAAAACTTCACTTGTTTTCAAACATGCGAAATTAGCGTTCGGTAAAGATAGTATACCGCAGAACAAAGCAATGCACCCACAATGATGTTTGATTATTTCTTACGGCACGTACTGCACAGCAATCTAGTAAAACTCATACTCCTTCATTTGGCTCTAGAGAGAGTTTTCTAGGAAGTATAACACATGTGACTGCACAAAAGTTCGTTCTTACCCGTCAGCATTTCACAATACTAATCGAATACTTTTCATACTTTTGGCAGTTTTAAAATTTTTTGAAGGATCTCATTAATGAATTCAGTTCTTTTCACTTCATGAGATTATTAAAGGCAGAAAGAAAGAAGAGATATGACTATTTGTTTGATTTGAATTATACGGATGATTATAGCTCCCCCCGCTAGCACATCAAAGCATTTGGTTACGGAAATTAAAAAAAAAACTGTATTTGAGGTATCTCAAAGGAAAAAATCTAACGCAAAGGAAAACTGCTGTAAACAAACGATGAGATCTAACAAAACAATTAATGCAATCAAAATG